GCAGGTCGTATAGGTGGTTCGCCGTCAGCTTGGTCGACCAACTCAAAGCTCATCAACGGCGGATGGTTTGCTGCGTGTGTGAGTGAAGGAGGAGAACTTTTTCCCTTCAATATTTTAGTTCTTAAATGACCACTTTGCCCTTACTTAAGTTCTTTATGATAATTGGGCCATTATGCAGATTGGGATGTTGTCAATCTCTCTTCTGGTACCTGTATTGGGCTTAAATACATGACAACACATCAATATGTGCCCTTTATCTCCCAATTCATTCGGGCCGTGTGTTGGGTCGTCCTAATGCAAAGGACGCACACCGTTTATATCCGTTTCACGCCATTTTCGACTCCAAAAATTATTACGACCCTATTTCCTGTTAAAACTTAAAATAACACACCTCGTCATAGCTTAATAAATATAATTAGATATTTAATTAATTAAACAATAATTAATTAAATAATAACTAATTATATATCAAACTACGACAAACGGACACGGAAACCACTATAAAATACACGTAAATATGACGCATGTCAATAGGACATAGAGCTGCAGAGAAAAATACACAACATTTTCTTGCATTCAGAACTCTCTCAAAGCCTCACGCATCATATCATAGTGCTCGGTTCTCGACTTCATCCTTGTTCGACTGGACTCTGAAGGCTGGTGTGCTACAGCTTCCGAGTGTTAAAGCCGTTGTATCTTTGGGGGCATTACGCACTAACCCGTCAGCACTACACGGGGCGTATTTGTCTTGCGGATAGATTTCAATCGCCTCGGCTCAAATCTCTCCGCGTTCGAGTTGTAATTTCAATTTTGTTTTAGTTCTTTTGTACGAACTGAACACTTCAGTCAGTTCATAGGTTCCCGTTGTAATACAAAACACACATTGTGTAACACAAAGTGTGGCTTTTGACCCGATGGGAATAGCCTTTGATAAGATCAAATTTTAGGAGCCTTTGATAACATCAAATTTTAGGAGATTATATATGGTCATGATACAAAATTATTCCATCGGAATATGTAACCGCTATATTAACTATCCACGACGGTTACATGATTATAACAGTTACAAATTTCGCGGATAGATTCAATAACGGGACTGTAGCATTTCCCCAAATTTTATACACAATATCTTATTCCATTTGGTGTAACTCATATTCATGTAGAGTCCTTATACTTTTCCAGCAAAATGTATACTTATGCTATGAAATAATGCACTCGTAATGATTAAGAGACCGATCCATTGTACATTTTTTTGGTAATAATACATAATTATACTGTTATATATCATACTTTATTCTGTTCAAAAGTATACATTTATTAAAAAAAAAATGAATGTCCAATAACATGTAACAAAAATTTAACACATTTGGTTAATTTGGAAAGCGACTCTTACATTTTGTATTGTTTAGTCAAACAGATGCCCTAAATTAAATACTAAGCAAGTGCTATGAATTATACAATTTATTGCAATTAATGTGGTGTAAAATTAATTAGCTAGCAACAATCAATATTTTTTTGTTAATTTTGCGGTGTGAATTGGCATAGCAATCACATCGTCCAATTTTGTATTAGGCTGAGCCTACCAAATTAGAACCATTCCATTTCAAGAGTATTCCACGAATCCACCCTCATAACACCCAATCAATGCATGGTTTGTTAAACAACCTTCATAATTTGTACCGTGTATAATTTTTTATTTTTTTTTCTTCAATATATTTGATCTATTCATTTATTTTTTAATAATTATAATATTGTCCTTTCCTATTTATTTTTTATTTAGTTATTGTATATCTTCTCGAAAAAATTTCCGATTCCCTATAATATTTCAGTTATACTGCCTGTTCAACTTTTTCGAAGGGGTGATAAATATATTGTTTAGCTGACCAGCGACGCGGTCGCTGATTAATCCCACCAGATTTTTCGAAAGGATGATAGATATATTGTTTAGCTGACCGGGGATCGTGCCGCCCGATAAATCCCACCAGCCTCTCTACGCGCACCAGCCTGCAAAATAACAAAGGACACCAAATGATAATGAGAAACCTCTTCGGCCGTTCAACAGAGACAACACAATGACTGACCCATTGGCCGTCACGTGCCACACAGCCACCATCAACAGATACCACGGCTTCCCAGTCGTTAAGGAAAAAGAAGCCAAACAAAACAAGTTACCAAATTAATTACACAATTTCTTTAATTTTTCTGCCAAATTAACCAAACAGACCTTGGCTAGTTCAGATTTCGAGCTCGATATTTTCTAATTTTCGGCTTGTTAATAGCTCAATTGTTGAGCCCAGTTAGAGCTCGATTATTGGCTCGTTTTTAAATTGCAGATAATCTGAGCAAATTTGAACAGAGCTTAGCTCAATTTTCCCGGCGCCGGAAAAAAAGTCTCCATAGTTGTTTGAGCCGCAAATTAGCAGTATAACCATTTTGTAGGAAGAAAAAAACAAAAAGGTCGCAAGTTCAGTAGTTAAAAAAAAAAAAAAGAAACAACTCCTCTCTTGTTTTTCTCCTCCAATTTCCTCCCCCTTACTATTGAGAATAATTCCTAATCGGCACGTGGTAAGCCCTCGCCTGATAGTAACGGCTTTTCCCGGCGACGACGGGATACCCAACGACCGGAGACGCGCACCGCCTCACTGCCGCGGGAGGCGCGTACGCGCGGTAGAAGGCGGTGGCGGAGAAAGGAGCAGCGCCGCGCGCCTTCGCGGCGGAAGGGAAGTCGAAGCACGAAATCGGAGACGACGGCGGGGTGATTTTCTTCCCAGATCTGGCCGGAAAAAGCACCGCCCTGATCTTCGCCTCCTGCGACGACGACCTCTCGTACTCCTCGATCACACTCCGGAGCTCCTCGTCAGACTTGACCGTGACCAGAACGTCCAGATCCTCGCCCGGCAGCGTACACGTCAGATTCACGGAGGATCCACACGATTCCCCCAATTTCACCATCAGCTCTGAACAAAACCAGACAAAAAAAAAATCAGAACAAAATTGGGAAAAAAAAAAAATCAGGGCTGAATTCAGAAAATGACAAATCCAGGTAAATGACCTGCAAAAGTAATCGAACGATCGACGGAGAGGATGCGCGTGTGGCCGCCGGAGTAGCGGAGCTTGCCGTCGGGGCGGGGGACGATTCTGCCGCCGTAGCTGTAAAGGAATTTGATAGTTTTCGCGGCGGTCATGCTAGAAAGCTCTTCTTTTTGTCCTCTTCTCTTTGTCCTTTTGGGATAGAGATAAAAAGGGCTGGAAGATTTTGGTCTCGTCTGTTTAGCAGGTTTAAGAAACAGGATGAGGGAGAGGGAGCGGTATTTATAGAATTTAATTTTGGCTAAAAAAAATTATGAATTTTTCGTTAAAAAAAAAA